AATACACTAATTCCAGTAGAAGCCTTTCTAATCACTCAGTCCATCATATCAAAATACTTGTTGGTCTAACTAAACTAATGGGGGAGGTGTATGCAGCCATGGTGCAGGGCTGGCTGCTGACAGATTTGCGTGTAGAGTATTTTCTAAAATTGTCCTTTCTAGCACCAAGTAGGTTGCAAAAAAAATCTGCATTTTATTGCAGTAGAAGCTCTACTTTAGGTTGTGTGGATGGAAATTAATAGCCAACTGGCAGCTAGAGCTGGAGAGGGAGGCTAAGTTCTCCTGTTTAGTCTTGATTGCTGGCGGTGATGGGTAGCATGGTTGCCTCTGTAAACTGCTGCCAGACTGCCCGAGCAGCATCGCTTCCACTCCAAGGACCCCAAGAGCTACAGGTCCAGTTCTACGGGACCAGTCCAGGTCCAGTTAGCATTACTCTACTCTACAGGTCCAGTTGGCGTTATCCTGGCAGCAGCAACACTGGTTTAATGGGGGAATCTAGAGATGTTGTCTGGGATCCAGACCTGGGATGGTCGGTTAGGCAAAGAGCCTGTTTTTGATTGGCCTTATGTCTAGAAACAAGAATGCGTTCCTATCTTTCAAATAGTTCAGGATTCAGCCTAATTATGATTAAAAACCAAATTATTTCTTTTTGAACTCGATGCTAGAGCAGGAAGAAATGGAGGCTATTGCCATGTTACAACCGTTTGCACTGCAATACATTTTCTCCGTGGGGGGCCAGGTAGCTCGAAAGCAAATGTGTGGCTCAAATAAATGACTAGGAAGTATTGGCAAGCCCTAGCTTTTGGAGGTGCCTCGGCACATCTCATACCAACACGGCCGTCGCTACATCAGTGTTGGTATAGGAGAGAGGCAGACAAGGTTCCTTGGGTGAATTTGATATCTTTTATTAGACCAACCCAAATAGTTGGAGAAAAGTTATTAAGCAAGCTTTCGGGTTCAAAAACCCTTTGTCAGGCTAAGGAAGTTTCAGCAGTTGGTATAGGAGAGATGCCTTTTAAAGATGCAATGTATTGGGAGTGTCTGCCAGCTTTAGCTTGGACTGCTGGAGGAGATGCTATAGCTAAGCTACCAGACATCCACCTCTAGTGGCATAACTGTCCTCACATGGGGATCTGGGCATAGCCATGCTGGCTAGAGGTGTAAAAACTTCATTAATATAAGTGTGGCCTCGATCCTCTTGATTACAATCAACAGCAGATCAACTAGAAGGAGACTAACTCTGACACTTTGCTCCATGATGCTTCTAGCCCAGTTGGCCGAGCGCTTGATCTCTGAAGAGAAAATCCTCAAGAGCTGTGGGAAGGATTTCATGAAGGTTTCTTGCAGACAAGTCTCTCCAGTGACCTGAGAGGTTGAAACCTCGTGTGAAATAAGGGAGGGTGCATGGCTGGAGCTCAGATTCAAGACTTGTTTCCTTTGGGAGCAGAATCTCAGCATTGCTTGAATATATGGGGGTAGAAAAAGAGGAATATGCTTGCAAGGTGATGTGTGTGTCAGCAGGGGTCTGCATTGGGGAAGAGTGCTTGGAGTAGACACTTGCATGGAAAGGATTTGTAAGATCTCAGAAGTTACCTTTTGGTTGTAGCATCCAGGAGTCTTGTGTGAAGTCTCTGACGGTGGCCTGCTGGGGGATGGCTTGCAATTCTTCTTCCTAAAATACCCGCAAAAGCTAGAAATCAAGAGCAAGCTGCAGTGGTAGGGGTCAGGCTGGCTGCCGTGGGTGGCCCAGCAATACCAGGTGCTATTCTTCACCTCTTCTAAGTGGGTGCCTGGTAGTTGCCCACCACTTATGCTGTGGGCAGGTTTGGGGGTGGGAAGCTCTTCTAAGACAAAGGACTCTGATGACAGTCTCCTGGTTTTGTTTGACTGACTCCGACCTGGTTTTCTTTGGCTTATGTGCTTGGCCTCTTGACCTGATCTTCAATGCACAGCTGAGAAAGTAAATGCAGACAGTCTGCCACTATTGGATTCTGACTGTGTACAGCTTAATTAGCTTTCTGCAGTAGCTGCTCGCTGTCTCCTTACTGAAGTTAAGGCTTAGCGACTGGAACGGAGATGAGCTTTTTTTTTTTGCTTTTTTTTTTTTTGAATCCTAGGGTAATGCAGCACTTGCAGAGGGTGGCTCTTCATGGCTGGGCCACAAGAGGATTAGCATCTGGGACTCCCAACACGGGTTCCTCTTGCAAGAGGCCAGACACCAAGGGTAAATACTTACCATGTGAGATGGAGCCGCTTCTGCGCAGCACCGCGGTGTTAGCTAGACTTCTCGGCTGCATTAGCACAACACTAGGCTGCTCTGCCTCCACCTTCAGAGCCAGTGGGATAATCCCCTCGTGGCTTTTCCTTGTCGTTGACATGACTTGAGTTCTCTGCCCAGCATGGCAGCCTCCCTACATTGTCTATCTGCCCTCGAACCAGAGGTTTTGTCAAGGAATAGCTCTTGCCACGTGTGCTTGGTATACTAAACTGCCTAGAGTCACCCAGCCCTCATGAACGACTACTTCCACGATTGCTAACTCCTTCTGGGCCTGGCCTTCAAATAGCATTTATGCCAAATGTGATCTCGGATCTGAAAGATTCAAGGAGGTGGATCTCCAACAGCATGGAAACGATTATTATAAGCCTTCCTATAACAGCATGAAAGTTGACTCGACTCCGATCCTTTGCTTTCTGCTCTGTTCTAGCATCGCAGCGTAGAGCCCTTGAAACGCTCCTGTGCTGAATGGGCTCAACCTCCCCAGCTGAGCTCAACACTTTCCAAGTTCTCCACTTTGGCTCTAACTTTTTGCAGGCTTTTCCCCCAAAAGGTGGGGGATGAGGAGCAAAGATGAAGCCTAGTGGGATCCCACGCTTCAGCTCTATCTTTAGCTTCTCTCTCCTTACAGGAGTAACATCATTAGAAAATGGGCAAGGGTTTTGACCAGGCCTGAATGCTAGCAGTAGTCTTGTTTTCCCACACTCCCTTCCCTTCTCTACCCTTTTGCTTTCCTAATTTCCACCTATTTACATTCTCGCTGACATCCTGTCGCAATTTTTAAATCTTCTTTCATTCTTTGGAGATCTCAACAGCAGAGACTCCCCGTGCCTGAAGAAGGGCGCCTGTGCCCGCAAGCTTGCAATGACCTTTTTTCCAACAACTCAGTTGCTTTAATAAAAGATATCCCATCTACCCAAAGAAGCTTGCCAGCAGGTAATTAAAGCAGCAGGGAGAGAGCTGCAAGGTACCTGATGGCCAGGTGATCAAATAGGTCAGGTACCCAGAGGCTCTCTCCAGCCCTCCTTCCTGCATCCTCCATAACAACACCTTCAGCTCCACTTTTGAAGTACCAGCATTGACTTTTAAAAAAGACCTGCATGCCGACACGGTGCCGTTTGGTGGCAGCACCATGGACAGTGTCCTTGAAGGAGGCGACTGCGGGCCTGACGGATGCCACCAAGGAGATCGAATTAAAGACCAGTTTGCCCCAGTGCAATGGAAGTTCTCCCTGGACTGGTGACGCCAGCGGGGTTCCTCTCTCCACCTTCTGCCCATTGGCAAGGAGGAATATGATGCTCCTGAATGGACAAAAGGGACGACGATTGTTTAATGTAAATGTCTTTTGAGCAACGTGGGATGTTCCTTCAGAGGAACATCTGTTCCTTGCAAACAGTTTCTCCCCTTGGAAGGCATGTCTCTGTATTCTCTACCTGAGTGTCCAAACTGAGGTAGTCTTCAGTGTGCATCGCCAGGTATTGTTGTGGCTTTTCCATGTCGTGCTGGGCAAGGGGCTGTTCATGCCGTGTGCAGGATTAAGATATGAAACGCAGCTTGGACGAGGCTACGGATCTGTCCGGTATGAGTGGCACCTACCTTCCCTTCACCCTTGCTGCCAGACAGTCATTCTAGATCAGATTAGTGCAAGATGAATTCAGGGTCATGCCTCGAAGCACATAACTGTTCTACAACACCTCTTCGAGGGCTGGCAAGTGTCACCATTAATTGGCACTTGTCTTGGTAGGGTATCAGCAGGGTTGGGACAACTAAGCCAAGATTTAAGAGAGAGACTTGTGTTCCTGTAAAACTGTATCCATCCAATAGCCACGAGGCTGAAGGCTACTCAGGATACTCTCACAGGACCTATTATTTATAACATCTTTGTAGAGCACTTTTGTGTCTAATCTTTAAGGAAAACTCTAAATCCTCCTCTGGGAAGATCTGTATGTTAGAGGGGGAAATAAAACACTCGAGTAACACGATGGGTCGTGAATAACTGCAACAGGAAGGTGTTGGGACAAACTGACTTGAGTTGCATCGATTTTTATTTATTTTTCCCTTTTTTTAGACAGAAAGCAGTTACTTCCCTCTCTCTCATCCCCGTTCTCCAGCTTTCGAATGGGAAGTGTTTAAAGGCTTTGCAGCAAGTGGGGAGGTCGCCCCTCATGGTTGCTAAAGAGGGTGGAATAGTTGATTTAACCAAGTTTTCAATGGATTTGCAAAGCTTCACCCCCGTGCAGCAGGTAGATTCAGAGGTGCTGAGCCCACCGTACCCAGTGCTGCTACTGGTGTCCTGTTGGCCAGAATAGCCTCCCCGCTGCTCCGTGTCTGCAGTCTCAAAGCCTAACTCTGCTACTTAACTTTCAAAACTCCTGGCTTATCAATCAGAGCCTTCCTTGGGAGCCTAAAGCCTGGAGCGGAGATGTATGAAAATCCATCTTAAATCACCAGCTCCATACATTCCCAATCAACCTGGCAGCCAGGTCATGGGGCCGGCTTGCAGGGCACCCTGCTGAGCATTGCAAATGGGGAAGAGTGGTGCTTATAGGGATTGAACAGAGGTGTGCTAAGCCTTCGTGATCGTGCCAGCGAGCTGCCTGTCACGTACCAAGTGGAGGTGACACCAAAACTCCTAAATGCAGTCATTTTAATAGGTGCCCCCGCAAAAGATCCTGCCCAAAGCCACTAAAAGGATCCTCTAAATCTGTTTTATTTGTATACGCAGAACTTGGCCTGAGTTTTGAAGAAGTACTAAACACGTGAGCCGTGGGACTGCAAAGAGCTTGGCACGTGCTTGCACCAGTTGGGTTGAAGCCTGGGTAAGTGCAAAAGTTTTTGTGGGTTTTTTGCTTTCGTTCGTGTTTTGGATCCGCTGTGTTCATTCCCAGCACAATGCTGCAATTTGTCCAGGCATGAAATCGTCTGGCACAGAACCAAGTGCTCGCTTGGGGGTGAAACTGCCTCGCCTCGTGGCATCTTCTCTACCATGCAGCCAGACCATTACGGTTTCTAAAACGGGGGCGGTGGGGAGGGGGTCTGCTTTGCTGTTGGCCTTGCTGGAGGCTCAGGCTTTTAACAGAGCAAAGATCTTGAGTAAAAGTTTGCTAAACCTAGATGGCCAGAATGCCACCCCCCGCCTTCTCGACTCTGTGCCTTGCAGCAGCGTCTTGTAGAGGTGCTTGGTTCAGGGGCACTTGCTAAATGTGCAACCCTCTAGAGGTGTGGTTGGCATCCCACACCAGTCTGCTCCCTTGTGCCACACCACGGACCTGCCTTACACCATCAGTGGCCTGGCTTTTTGCAGGGATCCTATGAAACTTGGATGCCGCCTGACCCATAAAAGCTGCTTTCTGTTTAAATGGACACTGGTCAAAGCAGAAACCACTCCCTTGCACTTGTAGTCTAACTCACCCACTAGTCTTAGCCTTTATCCAGTTTGTGCCCATATGCTTGTATCTGTGCCAATTCAGTGCGACCTGCCAGATGTCCTATGGGGTAGGCACTAGCTTGATTTACCTAAAGAAAGGTATGTGTGCAATGTGCTATTGTTAGTCAAATAGTTGTTGAATGACCCTGGCCTTTGGGGAGTTGGCAGGAATATTGCTGCAAGGAAAATTGGGCTTTCTTTCAGTGGCTGGGAGCAATATATGGAACTGAAATTAGAGACCACTGGCAGTTTTTAATGTCTCCTGTCTGACGTCAGCCTGACATGGCTAACTACCTCTCAATACGGGACAGGAAGGATCCTATTCAGACAGGAGATTCTCCTATTAAAGCTAATAACTGGGTGGAACGAGTAGTTTTTAATCTCTCTGACGACTGCCAGAGTCCTATCAAGCTTCTGTAATATGTCTGGTAGACAGCAGGAGCTGAATATCACCGCGAGCTGGAAGCGAGCGGAGAACATCACGTGTCTGAGGTCCTGGGCTCAATTATCCTGTCGGTGGCTGATGCCACTCCGACTGGAGCTGGCATTACCTGCCAACAGGGCAGTCAGGTCCAGAAATACATAGTCAGCCTTCAATGGAGGCTGCCCTAAGTGTAGAGAGTGAAACCCTCCTCCCTTTTCATTAGTTTCACCTGCCTGGGAGGTAGAAACAGAATTAACTGGCATTTTTAGCAAATCCTCTTGTTAAGGCTGGAGCAAGGACTCCCAGTCTTGGAAATAAAACAAACTGCTCCTTATACCTCCACACTGAGGATGAGCCACTTAACTGCCAGCCAGCCAGATGTAAGCTGTTAATGATGGTTCCTGAATACATGGGGAGCTGGAAGCCAGCCGCCATCGCCTCTCGGCTGATCAAAGCAAGTTGTGTTTTTAAAAGAACAAAACAAAAAAACCCCCCAAATCCACAGAGGTATTTTTAGCAAAAGCTTCACACTTGCGCTGCAACTTAAGCATAGCTGTTAGAGGAACAGATCTGTGCATTTTTCCCCTTCCTCGCATGCTCGGCAAGGCTGTGGTTAAAGGAGTGTATTGGAAAAACTGCCAGCCAGCAAAGTCGGGAGGGGGGAAATGTGAGCCTGGGAATGATGCAGTAAATGAGTACATCCGATAAACAGAGCCTCTCTGAACAGCTGTCTGCTACAGCTAGCCTTTTCGTGAAACCAGGGTTTCAGCCGACGTGGCCTGTTTTTTTGGGAGCCATGGAGGAGACTCTTTGCCGGGTCAGTAAAGGCAGGAGCTCGGTGCAATGTGTTGGTCGGCGCCATCCAGACTGCAGGTCCCATCTTTGTTCTTTGCAGCTTTGTCTAGTTGGACGTTCAAGACCTCATCGCTGTCACTGTCCTGTTGTTAAACAGCAAGAGGGGTAATGACATTGTTCAAATGATCTCCCAGAAAGCCATTGCATAGCTGAGACTTAGCTAACTTTGCATTGTTATAAGCAAGCTAAGTCTTTCCATCCTCATTGCCAGCTGGCTGTGGATATTGTACAACATGCTGCTGTTTATTCATCATGCTGATGAATTATGGCTAGGCCCAGAGAGCCCGTGAAATGGAGGGATACTCTCCTCGCTTTCCTGTGGAGGTGAGGTGAGGATCCAGTGACTTGCCAAAGTGGTGGCACAGAGCATCAAGCGGTCTGATCCAGCTCCCCTTGGCAGGGTGGGAGTCTGATGGTACTTGTGCAGGTTGGAAGAGCTCCTTTGTGCATCCATTTCATAAGCAATGGGGAGATTTTTTTTTTTTTTTTAAAGGTATTTGGGCATCTCTCTCCAATCAGTTTAACTGGGAGTTAGGCAGTAAAATGGGAGAAAAAAAATCTGATTTGGAGCAAATCTATGAATGATCCTCCTTTAGTCACTTAGAGCAGATCTTCCCACGTAGCGAATGTCTGCTGCCACTACCAAGAATACTCCAGTTGGTCTACCTCCATCGAATGTGTTGCAGCAGATTTCGTGTCCCCTTTGGTGAAAGAGATGAAGGAAAAAAGGCACGAGAAACAACGTAGTGTAACCGAGTGGTTGCCCTGCACAACTTGTAAGGTGACGGTGGGGTACGTAATGTATAATGAACATGTGGGACTCGTTGCTGTATGTGGAGGCCAATAGTAGACCCAGACCGATTTATGGTTATTAAATGTAACAGTCGGGGATGCAACCTCCGAGTCCGCACGCTGTTCTCATCCAGCTTGGCAATTCTTCCGCAGTAGGTGGTCGAACATCTTGCTCCTAAAAAAGCGCACCCGCCCCATAAACTTGGGGAGAATTTGCATCATGCAGCTCAGAGCCTGCGCTGCATGGGGGGGTGGTCATGCTCCCGGCACCATTGAGGTCCCTGTACTGGTTTTGGAAGGCCACATGCTGAACCCAGTGAGGTGTTTGAATTGTGAAAGTCCCCCACCCAGTCTCCCACCTCTGTGGCTTTTGTCGTGTGTTTTTGGGCAAGCTCCCAAGAGCACAGGTAGAAAGTGGGGTGTCTCGAGTGCTGTTGCAGAGCTTGGATGTCGCACCATACAGCCGAGCAGCGATCGCAGCCTGCGCGCAAAAGAGGTGTCATCCGAGCATATGCCCCAGTTTGCGGTGATGCCAAGTGTCTCTCTTCGCTCAGGGGAGCGCTCAGCTGTTCAAGAGAGAATTTAACTAATTGTGGCTGATTGATTTGGAGGAGAGCTTCCTGCAAACCAGCCAGCTGGAGGCAGGGGGGCTGGGCCAACCGGGGATTCGGAAATGAACTAACAGCGACGGGCTTTCTCATCTAACCGGGAGGCTGTGCATGCGGACGGGCTTTGCTTCCCCAGATGTTGCATGCGACTTGGGCCGGCTCCTTGGTTTAGAAGCAGGGCTGAGTTTGTACCCCGTTATCTGCGTGTCGGCATCCTGGCTGCTGCACTGACACACCGCAGCAGACTCCTTCCTGCCCCAAAGAGGTCCCAGTCCAAGCTAGGCAAAAGTGGGATCACACCAGGATTTGAGCCCTATTTCCTGAGTTTGGACCCAACAATTAGAGCCGCAAGATGTGCTATCCTCACTGCCTTGATTAGGCTGTTGTTCTTCATCCAGGCATGCTGAGGAAGTTAGCCAGCTGGCCAGTTTGAGTCACCATGCTTAGTCACTATCTAATGGCATCATGTATGTCTAGTGCACAGAAGCAGGCAAGCTACGCTCCCCGAAGGGTTTGGATCCTCACTTGTGGTTTCACTCGGACCCTCGTGCACAGAAGCGGGGCTTGCTTCTTGTGTCCTGACTAGCAGTGCTCCCTCGTCGACTGGAGCAGAGGGGCTGAGCTCCCGTCCCGCAGGCAGTGGTGGCAATTGTGCCCCTTGCAAAGCAAGATACTCCTCTGCGTCTCAAGGCAGAAGAGGCTCCCAGTGGAGCCCGTGGCTTGACTGCAGAAGGGAAAGGCTCGTCCCCCTCGCTCGGATATAACCCGGCTATGGGGGACTCGCGAGTAACCTTGCGATTTCAATAGTCAAGAACTGCGCGCCCCTTTTCAGTGCCTGCTTAGCAGGCCACTTCCTTGGTGTATGTAGAGAGGGACGCTTCCTGTCCTGGAAGACTCTGCAAGGGTAATGGGGGACCTGGCACCTGTGTGTTCCCCACTTGTTCCCTTGCACTGTTCAGTACGATCACATTTTTTATTAGTTGTGAGGATCCCTGGTGTCCATGGGATGCTCTTGGGTGGGTGTTGGGAGTTTGCACGTGCGTGGACATAGGAGTGCGAGTGGGGAGGTGGGGTGCATACATGCACGCATCTTCGGCTGGAAAGATGACGTTGGGGTACAAACAGTGATTTTTTTTTTGGATTCAGAACATGTGGGCTCAACCTTTGCTTCCTGTGCTTTGCTGAAAAAGTTACCTAGTGTGTCTGGGTCGCCCTTCCCCATCTGTCGCGTGGAGCTGATTTTAATGGTTTGCTTTGCCTTGAGTATGTAAATTGAAGACTGTAAACCCTTCAAACTGGGGAACTCTCTTTTTACGCGCTTGTGCAGCCTCCAGCAGGATGGGGCCTTTACACGTTAATGCAGTAGAAATGCTCATAACAAGCCTTCCTACAACGGCATGAAACTCGACTGGGCCTTGATCCTGTTCCTGCTATTCTGTAATCCTATAGCTTTCCTATATTATACAGCAAAACAGGTAACAAGGTTAGAGATTTATTGGGAGAGGGAGAGAGTATTAATATTTTTGTTGAGACCTTTGCAAAGAGATGCGCAGACCTTAAGAAAAGGAGAAGAGGTTTTATGGGGCTGGTGAGAGTGAAATGAATTGTACAAATGCAGAAAGTCTCCCATAAAGTGATTGCAGGGGGATGGTGGTGGGTCAGCCACCTGTTTTTTAACTGCTGGGAAAGGGCGATAAATCTGGCTCCAGACGC